CCATTGTCTCCAGAGAGATTTGATTTATATCCGGCCCCAGTCTGTTGTCTGGTACCATCTCGCTCCCTGCTGCCCTCCGTCCCCCAGAGCGGGAGCAAACCGGCCCTTCCCTTCGCCACACACTATTTCCATGGCGTTGCTCTCATGCAGCAACCTATACACATATTTTAATGAAAACCAGTAATACAGCCTTCAGACACAGCTTCCATTTGTTTGTGGAGTAGTTTCAGCTGGACAGTAAATAGTCTCCAAAATCAATTTTGTCACAGTGATTGCAGAGGCTGTGGTCTGTTTTTTTTTGTGCCTCTCTCAAACAAAGTGAGATAAAGGGACGAGGCAAAATAATCCGCTTTTTGAACACACATCTGTCCCTCTTTTGAGAAGAAAAAAAAGACAATATGACATTTGTAGTGTAGTGATGGAGGAACAATGGCCCAGCATGCAGCAACAAGAATGAATGTAAGCATCAATTTTAAATAGCCAACAATGCATAACAAAGCAACATTATCCACTGGGTAATGGAGCTAGAGATCAAATAGAATTCATGTAAAAGTCGGAGAAATCAAAATAATCTCCAGGGAACAAAGACCAAATCAAAAGCTTCTGCATTTGATGTTTTCCACTATGTGGCTGCCTCAATAGTTCCAAGTACCATGGCATCCTATGAAAATCCACCCCAAGATTTTCTGAGCTGTAACCCAATGTGTGCACTCGATCGTCCAATCCCAAAACAATGGGCAGAAATAGCCAGCGGCGAAGCGAGTGTGGGGCGAGGGATAAGAAGACTTATCTGCATTAGGAAAAAAAAGGACACATTAAATCACATTAGCACAGTTTTGCCTGAGAACTAAACTTGTGAAGGGAGTACCAATGGCTTGAGAAGATTAGAAATAAATATGAAAATAAATAAATGTGCTTGTTCCTTGAGGCAGAAACCACAGTGATGGAGGTGGCGGCGGTGTAGTTTATTCCTATGCAGGGCTCACATCACCATCGGCCTTTTCTCTCCCCAGTGAAACTGTTTATTCATTAATTTCCTCTTCATTTAATTGGCAAGATGGAGTTGCCTCCTCCTCCTCGTCTTTCCGAACTGGCCTGCAGGTTTATTAGTGGTCCTTCTTTTCCAGCATCTTATTCATTTCAGTTTCCTGTCAACTCAGGCTGCACTTGATGTCTTTGCCCTTTATCTCTCATTTTATTTTACACCTAAACAGACAATTAAATTAAGAATAGAATCGCCGTGGAGCATAGACCTGTTAGCACCTACCGTTGAAAGTCTTTCTAAACGTGTCTGTTCTTGTAAGAAACAATATAATTTTTGAATGATAAAATGGAATTAGAGTATATTGTACATTTGTGTTGTTGTGCTGGATTTTAACGTAGAGCACGTTGTGTTATTTATACAGAATTAATTTCCCATTTAGCAGTTATTTTTCCCCCAAATGGTTTACGTTATTAGGTACATTATTATCTACATTGTTTTTCTTTAATGTCAAAATGAGAAAATAAAACAGGACAATGTTTGCGCTAGAAATCTAGGAGGTTCTCTTTGAAACATGGATACATCTGCTCATTTCATTACAATGAGAAGGGGTCTACAGGGAGCCTGTGAGGCTCTACTTGGCTAAATGCTAACAAGCCAGCAAGGACAACACTCATCATGCTGAATGTATAGTGAGTTTATCAGGCATCGCAATGCCTGTGAAGATTAGCGTGGGAGCATGTTAACGTTTTCTATTATCCATCTCCGAAGCCATTGGGTAACATAACTTAGATAACAGGAAATTACTTTCAGCAGCAGCGACCACTGCTCATAACTATATAAAAGCCCTCCTGAGAACCTCCTTCAGCGGAGGAGTGCCGGCTTCATGTGGCCGTGTGCCTGTCGTCCGTTTCAGCACGAAATGATAAACAACATCGCAGAAGGTCGTGTTAGGAAGTCTGGGGGCACAATCGGAATAGAAGGAGGGTTGAGAGATTGAGTGCACCATTGAAAAGCCATCAACTCCCCCCCCCCCCTCCACCACCACCTCGCATCCCCCCCTCCTCCCTCCTTCCAAACATCCTCCCCTCCCGTTTTCAGCTCAGTGCACTCTTTAGCAGAATTATTGATGGTGCTTGTGAGGTACACAGGAGTGGGATGAAGATGTCTCAATGCCTGGGCTACAAAACAAGAGCTATGGCAAAGGGTGGGCCAGCAGGAGGAACAACACATGCAGTATTTATTGCTGTGTTCAATAAGGGGAAGGAGAGGAGGGAAAAAATGGAAGTGATCGCAGCCACTCATCTTGTGCTGGTGTTTCTGTTCGGATGGGCTCAAGACATCTGGTGATAACGTAATGAAAAATACTGAATCCCAGGAAAACAGTTCTGCTTTGAACATTTGCCTTTGAGTAGAGACATAAACAATAATGTTGATGACTAAAGTCAATAAATATACAATGCAGAATGACTTATCTTTTATTATTTTATCTTTTATCTCGAGCTCATTTCAGAATTCCTCTATAGGCAAATGTTAAAAGCTGTGAGAGATTGGACTGCGTAAGCATTCAAACTACAGAAACTACAGAGTAGGGGGATAATTATCAGTGGATCGAACCCTTTTACATCCGAGTAGTCAAAGGAACTACTGTCCATTTAAAATGATTGACAATAGCAGCTTTAAGAACAGTTCTTGCGCTCTCAGTTGGGAAATTAGAAACAATATCTGCAAAAAATGTTTACTGTTTGCAAACGCAAAATAAACTTGTACCTTTAACTTCATAGTTTTAGTGGCAACAAATGCACTGCGCCACAGAATAGTTACCTGTGCACTGTGCAAACTCCTAAAAAGGTTTAACAGTTTAGGAGAGAGAACTTTTCTATTTCTTTGTTAAGATGTTTCTTCTGTTTCATCATACTTACAGTACTTTACTCGTCTCCTGTTCAAGCCCTCGTCAACTCATCTGTTTCCTCTATCTTTTCACAGGATGAACCGTTTGTCATCCGAATATTGCTTTTTGTGCAACAATAAAACAAACTAAAGTGTGTTTCTTTGACTTTTTGTTATTGCCCTCTATGCAAACGGTGCAGTTTTTTTGGTGTTGTCCCTGTTGACAGCTGCTCTTTGTTAGAATGAGACACGAGTCGTATTTTCTTCCATCTCTGTTTCTTCCCAGTGAAATTATGTTTCCATACCTCAAGCCCCAGAGAGAGATAACTCTTGTGATGACAGTTAATGAAACTCACTGCCCCGAGATTCATTAATAATCTACAGGCTCTCCTTGTGTATTCACAGCATGGGAAAGAGGAGAGCATGAGGCACACACACACACACACACACACACACACACACACACACACACACACACACACACACACACATACACACAGTGTTGCTTTTGATGAACGCCACGGCCCCGATGGACGTCCATGTAATCCACGTTTATAGGAATGCGATCCTCTTTAAAAGGTCCCTTTTCATGGAATGTCTCATCATAAAACAACTAGTGGATTAAAATCATGCAGTCAGTTTAAACCATCTTCCAGTAAGAAGAAATAATAAACACAGCAGATATCTTACAACAACTCTATCGGCTGTTTTTGGTGCTCCGGTTGCCTTTATGGAGATGCTGATACAGATCAATTGAAAGAGTCTTACGAAGTACCGTCGTATTTCTATCATTACTTTTTAATGTTTTTGTTCAATTGTACTCTTTTGTTTTCTCCCTCATCCTCCTCTTAGTATCATGTCGTACAGGACAACGCTACCTGATTTATTCCGGCTCGTTCTGCTGCTGATGTGTTTCTGGTGCCCTCTAGAGGAACAGTAACAGCATTACAAGAATAACGTGTAGCTATTAGAATGGGCCATTTCTTACATTACTAGCAAGGTAATTGTTATAATCTTCGCAATAGATAAACTGAAACCACAGCATGTATAAAATACGTTGTATTAAATTGTGTAGTTTGTTGAATAACTTTATTTACAGTACGAGGAATCAAGAAAAGGTTTTGCTATGAACGTGTCTCTTGTTGGTTCAGTAAAGAAGTCAAACCTCCATCCATGTCACATGCAGGAGCCATCGGTGTTTCTCTTACTCACAGGGTTCATGAGAAATGACATCTCAGATACGTCAATTTCCTTTCTTGTCAAATAATGACTTCAATTTATGAAACCCCAGGCTGCACCCTTCCGATAAGGAGTCACTGGCATCTTCCGCAACTGAGGTTAAAAGTCCAGCAGGTCTGCGTTCTTTTCAAAAGTTAGGACGACTACTGTGCAAATCCGAAATCATCTCCATCTTTACGATTAATGAACAAATAGCCTACTGTGTGTTTACTTCAACGTTTTTTCTGGTCTTAGTTCTAGCATTTTTATTTTTTTGCCCCAGCAAACATCTTTGTCTTTCCAGAAATAGGCTCACTGCTGTCTGACTCAAGTCAGCTGATGTGATGAACCCTCTAAAGTCACACACTCAGTTATTCATACTCCGACTAAATATAGATGTATGATGCACAGAGTTGGTCTGCAGGCTTTTGTGAACACCAAAGTGCAATACTTAGGGTGACACCAGTTTATTTCATGGGTTAGTCGTCTTACAAAAAGCCATTAGACAAAATGTACAACTACAACACACACACATCAATGCAGCCACAGTTAGAAAGAAGAAGGACGTGAATCCCCCCCAAATGTATACAAGCCATTGCCCCGATGGCTTTACTAGTAGAACAGCTAGAAACAATAAAGAGGAAGTTAAATAAATAAATAAAAATAAAAAGTACATGAAAAGAAATGTGGGCTCCTTCTATGCCCAGCGAGTATCTGCGCTTCAGTGAGTTCAAGACCCTTCTTAACATGGACATTTAGATTCAACACGTCTATATTCTTTTCCATGACGGTCAGTGGCCTCGGCTGAGCAGTATCTCTTGCTAACGATACTACACAGAAGAGGAAGCTGGTTTACCACACGCAGCCGTCCCTCACTGTTCATGACACAACTTCCTTCTTGTGTGTGAGTAAGAGACAGATAGAGAGAGACAGAGAGAGAGAGATAGAGAGAGACAGAGAGAGAGATAGAGAGAGACAGAGAGTAGATTGGCTGCATAACACAGTTAGTTTCGCTGAAAAGTTGAGAAAAGTTCAAAGTACCAAAGATCATGGAGCCACAACAGATCCGAGAGGGATACTTGGTGAAAAAGGTAAGGACAATTACAAGAACACACGATATACAAGATAAAATCCACCTTGCATTGCATTTGAAGGACTGGAATGTGTTTTTTTTTATTTGACGTTTGTTAAAGGATTTAACAAAAAAAAATAACCAAACTGTGACTGACGTGACTAAAAATATATATCTTGACCAAGAGGAATGTTGTTCAAAGTTGAAGCAGGATGGAGACTGACAGACCCGCATTTCACTCAAAAGCGGTTGGTTAAAGCGAATCACACTTCCTGCTTCTGCCCAGAGAGAAAACATGTAATGTGTTCTGCATGTTGTATGTGACCAATTCTCAATTATGAAAACAAATTACTTTCATTTATTACATTTTAAACAAATGCAATGTCCTAAAATAAGCAGGGTGTCTTTGCAATATACCATAACCAAGTAAGTTGAAATCCACTTGAAACCAAAAATTCAAAACATAAAACAATGTCTGCGCAAAAAGAACAGTCATGAAACCATGAATACATTTAGAACTGGTTTAACTTTCAGTTCTGTTTTCTAGACTGAGTTGGTTGTGACTTTGTCTTTTGACCTAACATCACAATGAAAGGAACATTAGAAACAATATTTCACTGGTATTCTTCTACTTATTTTAGCGTTATATAACTTTGTTACGTACCTAAAGTGTCTAGGGGTGGAGGACGTAAACAAGTTAAAATAATAAACCCGGGAGATCTGCATCAACGGCAAAACAAGGATATTTAATGAAGGAAAACAACACAACTGAAAACAATCTCCAAAGGAAGACGAGTACAGCGTATGGCTTCTTTGTTACTGGCTCCCAAAACGTCAGCACCTCGCAACCTCTCTGGTTCCGCTCTGGCTTCCACTGAAGCAACAACCCCCCCTCTGGCTTGGCACAGCCATTTAATCCCCTTCTGATCAGCTGCAGGAGGGACGTCGCCAGCACACCTGAAGGAAATCACACCCACTCTCACTCACACACACACACACACACACACACACACACACACACACACACATACACACGCAAACACAAACAAGGCACGAAACAAACTTCATCATCCTACTATTTATTTTAAGACACCATCCTTCTAACAATATATTTGTGACCAGGTTTTAAGGTTTCACCCTTTCCAAGTGGAAATTGGACCCTTGCTGCAGACTTTAATGCCATATTTATATACAGTAATTTGCTTTATAAATTTGTTGGAGAGTTGGAATTAAACCACACGGAGTACTACATGAAAGAAAGTACAGTATGAATGCTTCAGTAATATGACACATACCAACATTTAGGATATGTTTCACAGCAGATATGATTTTTTTAAGCCTTAAGTCAACCTTTCAAAAACGAGAGGCAGAAAACGCATTTTAAGACCGAACTTCCTGTCAAATTAAAAAAAAGTTTACTTTTTGTGGCGTTATCGAACCGATGGAAGTAAAACTTTAGGGCTAAAATGAGAATAAATATTCAGTGGAGGCTTGAGGCTTCCTGTTGACTGTCTCATTGATCCTCAGGGTACGCTGCTGAACTCCTGGAAGGCAGTGTGGGTGGTGCTGTCAGACGATGGGCTGGAATTCTACAAAAAGAAAACAGACCGCTCTCCAAAGGGAATGATCCCTCTGAAGGGAGCCGTGCTCGTCAATCCGTGCCAGGATTTCGGCAAGAGGATGGTGAGAAAATGTCAAGTATAGCTGTCGACAAAAACACCAGCTGACGTTGAAGGATTAGAAATGTGAAACTTTGTACAGGATTAGTGACTTCAAGTGAGTTCAAGACTAGAATTCATAAAGATATGTATTTATATTGAGACAACCATTATGTATTTTATTTCATAGCAGCTGTGTTAATGGTTTATTAGCATCATATTATAACATTCAATGAAACAACGTGACTGACTAATAATGCTCCATTTAGCTGGTTTTCAAGATCACCACTGACAGGAAGCAGGATCACTTCTTTCAAGCCTCACACGTGGAGGAGCGAGAGTTTTGGGTCAAAGACATCAAGAGAGTGATCACCTGCCTGGATGGGGGGAGAAAATTTGCCAGGAAGTCCACAAGACGCTCCATCCGCCTGCCTGACAAAGTCAACCTGACGTATGTGTTCCATAAAGTCTACTCGGTGGTGGAGACAAATTAAACCGCCTAATTTGGTTTCCCTTCCCTACGGGCGCTTCTGTCACACCTGTCAGGTTACCGTGCACGGGGTTGAACGTTCTGCGACTGACATGAAACTTGTGAAGCCTTCGATGTAAATTTACCCGTCAACAACTGAAGCCTACAGGTCCCAAACAAAAAGTTGGCAACCACAACTTTTGACAGTATTGGATCGGACTGTGATTTCCTTTTGGATTGTGCGATAAAAAAAAACTGAAACCTATCAACCTCTAACTTTACATTATAATATTATTAGGTAACGATATGCCTCCTGTCTCTTCATTTATTTTTTACTACTGCAGGTTGTAAGCTGGCCTTATATTTGTACTTTTCTTTTACTAGCCTTATAGTTATAGTTTTTTTCTTTTTGGAAACACATAAAAAATGGACACAGATGTCTTTGTTTACCCCGATTCGTCCACCCACCGGACGTGGAGGAAACGTGGAGCTTGACACGACTGCTTTTAGTGAACAGATAATTGCACGTGCTCAGTGATGGATGGAGATATATTTTTTTTTCCTCAGGGAACTGTACGCACTGATGAAAGACCAAGACGGTGGAGTAAAAGAGTTGAAGCTGGAGCAGGAGAGCCGTGTCTTCAACCACTGCTTCACCGGTATTGTTGTCTTGTTCTTTTCTTTCTGATGTAACAGATGTGGAAGCTTTTTTTTTTTTCTTTTACTCTCTAATGGCTTTGGCATTTCTGCCATTTCCTTTTCTTTTTTTTCTCTTCTCCCCAGGTGCAACGGTGGTGGAGTGGCTGATTTCAAAGGAGAAAGCGAGAAATAGACCCGAGGCCCTGATGCTAGCAACAGGGCTCCTGAATGAGGGTTTTCTCCAGCCTGCGGGCGACCTGTCGAAGGAGGGAGCAGAGAGCGGAGAACAAACCGTCTTTTTAGATGAGACCATTGCTCTCTATTACTTTGTAAGTTTAAATGTGACTTTTGGCGTATTTCGTTGATACGGTTGGGCATGACTAAACATGATAGTTGTGTATTTCTGCGTGATGTGCGCAGGCAGACAGTGGGTTCTTCTGTGAAGGCTACTCCAGTGATGAAGATGTGCTTCTAAAAGAGGAATTCAGAGGAAACATCGTCAAACAGGGCTGTTTACTGAAACAGGTAAATCAGAATGCAGGCAAGGGGTCAAAGGGATTTTGTTGCCATGTATCCATTTACAATCCCAGCACAAATTCTCACACTGTGTGGATGGGAAGACATTTTTTAATGAGTGAAAGTAACTTTCCTGTTGAAAGTGGGAACAACTTTTGTTGTTACGGTCAGGCAGCTAATTTCTGACATTCACAGAAAAAGGAAGTGTTCTATTTGCTGCATGCTATGTCTGCTGTTCAGGGATATTGAAACAAATCAGACGACGCATGTTGTTTTATCACAGGGACACAAGAGAAAAAACTGGAAGGTGCGAAAGTTTGTCCTGAGAGATGACCCCGCTTTCATGCATTATTATGATCCCACAAAGGTAAATACGTGTACAAACTGAACCAATATTATTGTACCAACACGACTTTCCTATAACGGCATTTCCCTGTGCCTTCCCGGGGGTCAGGGTGACGATCCCCTGGGCTCGATCCATCTCCGCGGGTCGGTGGTTACGGCTGTGGAGTTCGTGCCAGACGGTGAGTGGGGCCATTTTAATCGTTGTTCAGTGTCAGTAGCTTTCTCATCGACTCGTCCCCTCTGACTCCCCCCCCTCCCCCCTTTCCCTTCCCCCTGTTCCGGATTCCAGCCAAAAAGTATGACGTGGACGGCGACCTCTTCGAGATCATCACCTCGGATGAGACCCACTACTTCCTCCAAGCCGCTAAGGCGGAAGAACGAAAGGAGTGGATCACAGCGATACAGGCAGTGTCCAAAAGTGGGAAATAACAGGAGCAGCAGGAGAGTCACAGTTGGAGTTATTGCTTGTAAAAATGTTACACTGAAAGGCCTTTAGCTCCATAAAGGTGTGTCAGCAAAGCTTTTATGTAAACTGAATTAGTGCTGTGTCGTAATGCTCTACACGCTATCAGACTAATCGTATGGTGTTCATATATCTTATTAAAAAGAAATAAAGGTTACAACAGTTAAATGTGACAGTATAGTTTATTACAGCTAATGCCTAAGTGGATGTTTGAATGTCAAGGGCTCGTAATGTGTGGCAACGTCTTAAAATAAGACTTTCCAGTAATAAGGAGTAATATATTGGTAATATTTTGGTACTTACCAACATTATACCAACACAATGTCTTATGTTGTAAAGTAAATATTTGACTTTTATGACATGAATGCAACCTGATCATGTTTGTAACAAGCTTTGTAAGCGCTATGTTGTAACACACCTAATCAGTAGTACTCAAGTTGTACTTCTCAATTCTTTGTGAAAACTACTGTTCTACTACTATTTCAATGTCCATGAGCAGGCAGCTAACTGTGGTATCCAAGAGCACACTTACTTGCACAGTCATTGCATCTATTACTTGATGGAAAGCTGTGGTTTATTTGCTAAGTATGAAAAAGTTACTATTTTGTTCATTGAAGACAATAAAACATCCATTTTAGGGCGAAAGTGAAAGTCAGACACTTATACGCTGTTTGAATGTGATATCTGGTAAAGACAAAATAGAGGCTGGAAAGAAATAATAGTAACCTGTTTCTGGTTGGAGGCTTACTCTTATGCACAATATGTTTTCTCATTTCCTTCTTTCTTACCTACAATACCTTTCAACAGTTTTATACTTCAAGCTATCATAGAAACACGCCCGCTTCCTGAGAATGAATCACATTCCGCCTTCACACCAGTGTCTCTTTGTGGCTTGCAGGCCGGCTGCATCTGTGAGAGAATGTATCAAAGGCAAAAGTGACTGGCTTCAGCTGCAGTATGACTACACAAAGAGAAAACAAAAAAAAGCATCTTTATACTTATTGTGAAGATGTTTTAAGCACAACCGCAAGTTAAAATGAACACACTTATAAAAATGATTTCCTGAGATCTGGGAATGTGGAAAATGATGGTGATTCATCATGAAACATGGTGAAATATGAAACGCTTTTGCTTCAGCTGCTGCCTATTCAATCAAACCTCCTATATAATTATACTTCATCATGTTGTATACTGTACGAGGATCGGGTTACATTTCTATTTTATTAGCATTCATAAGAAAGATGAAAACAAAGTCCGTCCACCAATTTGTTTTTTTAGAAATGACTGGCATTTGCAAACAAATAAAAGTGTGTCTGTGTGCTTTACTGTATCGACACAAGAGGGCGCTATATATTAATCCAACGTTCCCGAGAACCACTGGAAAGTGGGATCTCATTCCACTGACTGATTGTCAATTTCTTTTGCAAAGCATTACAAACACACACACACACACACACACACACACACACACACACACACACACGTTCATCTATGATGTACAGTATATTAAAACAATAGAACAAAGTCCAATCAATAAATCTTGGGTAGAATTAGAGCTCATGTAAAACTGTAATAACATAAATCACAGCGTAGTCATGTTGTTGTACATTTAAATTAACATTTTCTGGATACTCAAACTAATGATCAGTTTAAACAGTGAGGGAAAATGCAATATGACAGTTATCAGTCTAAGATGATATACATGTGGCTCTTTAAAAGCTAGTGCATGCGGGTTCATGCAAACTGTTTTAATATTAGTTCTGAACAAAGTTCAATGACTTGACCAGGCGCTCAGATCCAGCAAAGAGCTATAAAAATGTTACATCGTGTAATCCCTGATCAAAACCCCCCGTTGTGATCAAATAGAAAGGGATGGGGGTCCCACCAAACATTTGAAGGTATCAAACAAATAATTCAATCGAAATGTCATCCAAGATCATTCAGAGGTGGAGGTGGCAGATCAAAGCAGAAACAGCAGCTCTTTCATGTGTGAAATACTGATCCTGGAGCAGCAAAACATCCTGAGAAGAAGGAGGCAGAGTTTGTATCCTGACTTATGGCACCGATGTTCAACAACAGATACTTTAATAAATCAAATAAAAAGTCACTAATTATTTCTAAAACAATGTGAATTTCTTCTTTTTGAAGATGAAGTACTCATTATTAAAATATTCAACTTGATCACTTACCATATTTGGAACTTTAAGTTAATTCCACAATAAAGTAAATTTGTGCAAATAAATGCAATTAATAAATGCAAATAAAGAATAATATAAATGTGATAAAATAAGGAGATGGATTTAGAATTTGGAAAAAAATATTTCAATTCAACACACAGAAACAGGAAAACACACCTTTTCTCAACTACAGACTTTAAGTGTTCCTCTCCTGCACTGTGAAAAAAATGGCAGCACTCTAGCACTCAAAAAAAAGGGAGACAAATAAAAATGCAACATTGCAATGTACCTTTTAGAAAGGTTTGGTATGCACTTATTTAGAAGCATCAAATAAGTGATCAAAGAACCAACGGGTTTTACTCTGCTGATTAAAAGCTTTTTTTTTAAGTGTTCCATCTATTAAGCAACAACACATTGAAGAACATATTACTTGAAAATATTGGTGCTGCACAATTGTGGATGTTTGCCAACTGCCGTTCAACTAAATTAGTGGGAAGCAGACCGTAAAACTTAAAATGCTCTTATGTGGCTGGATCCTAGCTCGGCAGACTTTGACTGACTGGTGAGTTTGGCCAAACGGTTCCTTGAGGGAAACTTTTTGACTGGCGTGTTACAAAGTGTGTCCCCCCCTCCCTTGCCTGGAGACTCCCCAAGAAGTTCATTTTTTTGACGTGTCTGCTCTTAAAAAACATTGGTTTTGATATTGGATCAGTGGCCTGCTGTCAAATTACTGTTCAGTGTCTGCCCAGGTGGTGGTCCTTCAAAGCTGCACCGACTAAAAGCCTGGAAAATATTCCTGTGTCAACACATTCTGATGAAACCGTGATGCATATAATCCACCGGGTTTAGGTCTCGTGCCTTCTGATACCCTGCTGAACAGGGGCAGCTAAATAGTTTGATGGGCACGAACAGGACGGTCTGGGGTTAGAAGTGCCCTGAATTCACCTAGAGCTCTGCAGAAAAGAGTGTTCTCGCTGTGAGTTAGCCGTTGTGCTCTTTATTTTTTCGTTTTGATGAGACAGGCAGAGACAAGTCAGGGGGGCTGCAAACATCCACGGAAAAAACAAAACAAAGGGAGACGCGAGGGAGGCAGCTCCTGGAGCAGTTTTTAAAAGAAAACAGGATAAGTCCACTCTGAAGGTGATCTGTTTGAATATCAATAACACTTGTCTTCTTTACATTTTAGCTGAGGCACACATGTTCATCCATTGAATGCTGGTTAAGAGTAAATTGACTGCTCAACCCATCAATCCATCAATGAACTGTATCAATGTCAGATGCCTCAGGCGTTGCCAGGCCAACGCGGCAGGAGAAGCCATTTTTCTCTAAAATTATAACTTTCAGCAACAGCTGTCTGCAACAGAAGAATAACAGCATAATTGCTGTGATGATGGATGACTGAATTTCCCAAAGCCTGGATCCATTAATTGGTGTGTGTACAGAGCAGAACGGATTCATCGGGCTTAACTGCCTGTTTGACACTGACGGTGACAGTACGATACTCTCAATTCACTCCCTTGTTTCCTCACACAGACAAAAGCTCAAGTCAAATGTCAATCGAGAATCCGGGCCGGCGATGTCACCACTTCGGGTTGATGACTTCCATGGACACAGATTCGTCAGGGTTGGAAATTGTCTTCGCAACGATGGGAAACTGTCAAAAGCGTTCTCCATCATGTGACAACCCCTGCCCTTTCCTGCCAATCTGTCATGATTATGACATGTGAGATTCATTATTTCCCAATGCCGGGTGGCAGGGACTCTTCACGGCCGTCTGCGAACAGCTGGGCACCTGGAGAAGTTTCGTCAGTCAAACTCTGTATTGTGCCTACAACCACAATCCAGATGAGACCATCATCCAGATGTAACCATCATCCACAGAAAGCCGTGAGGACAGAAAGCACAGGAGCTTCAGCGTAGAAGCAAAGTCAGTAATGTCCGGTCATCATGACAGTAATAGTAATGTGACTAATAGTAATAGAAATGGTGGCAAAAGGGTGTCAGCGCGGTCATGGGGAAGGCGGGACAAGGGTCCAGATTTAGCCAAGATCCACGGAATTAATCTTTAAACTTCCTTTCACCTGCACTGTAATCAATCGAAATACAAATATAAAACATTTGCTGTTATTTAAAACAAAACTACAGATTTGCTCGGGACGTGTTTACTTTTACATAATAACTAGTAGTACTATTTCACAATATCAAATTAATGAAATGTTACATTACTTGAACCTCGATTGCACTTGTAATCTATTCTAACACAAATCCAGTGAGCCTCTCCAGGACTCGGTGAGGACAGTAAGACATTTCAGGGTTGTGGTTTGCTCGCTTCAGAAATAGCTTCTCACCACAGGAATGATACCAAAATATAGGGAAAGGTCCTTTACTATTTTTAGTGTTTCAACATGCTTTGAACTGGAACTTTTAGTTTATATTCCGAATCAAAGATTCGGACCTTCGGATGACAAATTAGGAGAAAAATGTCCAACATCCTTTAAGCTTTGTGCAGTGAAACCAGACAGCTCAGAGTGGATTACTGCCGAGGAAAACTCCACTGCTAAAAGCCTCTTCTTGCATCAAAAAACTTGACTTGTTTCATCAATTTCAGCCTCTCGTTTTCAAAAAATGTTATTCCCTAGAGGTCTGTAAGAGGGATTAAGGGACACTGCAACTGTCATTATTATTAGTAGTCACATTACTATTGCCGACACCATTGCTACTGTTGTTATCATTGTTAGTCTACTACTCACATTACAGCTATATACGTTATTTTAAATCATTATTAATAAGCTTTCTTCCTTTTTATGCGTTGAATGTTATTTTGTGGGGAGTATTTCCTGTGTCGATGTGAGGGTTTCGGGAGAGGGATGTCGCAGATGTTAAGATTGTAAAAGCCTGTGAGGCCAATTTGGGATTTAGGATTCAGGGCTACAGAAGATGAATTTAATTGAATTGAGTTGCAATTGAATACGAATGAGAGAAAACTTATTTTGTTCATGAATGCCATTAATTTGACCTGATGTTAAGGATTCCTATAAGTAAAAATCACTTCACCCAGTGGTCGGCGGGTTGGGCCACACTAACAACTAATGACACAATTGGCGTGCAGTTTGCTCGAATGCCTGCTGGGGAATCTGTATCCAATATGATGCTGCCTTGGTAATTAGAATGACACAGATGCATTTTCATTGATTTTGTCCTGTATTTTCAATGTGGTTTACATGTCAGTGCACCCACAGAGCCAAATCACTGAAGCGTATATTTCTCATATTAGATTATTTCTGTAATAATATATAAGGCCTACAGATCACAATGAACTCCCAGGCAATGAAATTGTCATGGTAACGCTGTGTTTGGGTTTTTCCCATTTCCCTCACAAGTCCATGTTTTGTTGCCGGCTGATCGCATCACATCGCTTATCAGGCTTATCTGCATTGACCCCGTTTCCCCGCTCGCTCAAAACCAGACTCCAACCGAAACCGGTCTTTTGAAACTTGACGGATCTTCATCTGATCACTGAAAAGCAAAGCAACATCATTACAGCTTCAGTAGCTTTCACATAGAAGTGCTAATGCTAGTTAGCGTTGTGCAACTGCTAATGTTTGCTCGACAGGTTTTAACATAGAAACGGAACTTTTTAGAGAAGTATTTCTCCTCTGTGTTTGATGAGTGGGACTTGGGAAAGGGTTCATTAGAAAACCCAACCCGTTTTGTGTCTGTATGCAATGACTTCTAATTAAGGTTTTAGATAAGCTAATTGTGTGAACAAAATACAAGAGGATTTTTCTTCAAAATAAAAAGAAAGAACACATAACACAATCTCGGTAGACAAATGAACAGAGCTTCATTTAATCTGTTAAAGGAAGAGTATTGATTAAATTGTTCTCAAGTGAATCATTATTCATGACCAGCAACGATTTTCTGTCACAGAATGTCTCAGGGCTGCAAAGCTGTAGGCAAGGAAACTAAGAGAAGTGCACAAACATCACATTAAACTGCTATCTAAGAGACATGGTGGTATTAACAGCTCTGGATGTCCAAAATGCATTTGTCCACTCAACGTGTTAGCTCCCAGCAAGAGCTTCACAACTGATGATCTAAAGAGATAATTGTTTAATGCGTATTTGTGAAATGGAGGAATGATGCACACATATGAATGCATTTTAAATTGCTTATTTTTCTTTAATTATATATTTAGATATTTGCATGTTTGGGATGTGTTACTGAACTGTGATACATTGTAGGGTCTGAAGTAAGGAGACATAAGGATCACGCCTACATTTTGGTAGTAATTATAAAACCCATACAGATATAATGACGCTGAAGACATTAAAGACCCTTCAGTGGTGCCGACACCTGTTTTCTCAGTTTGTGGAAGGAGGGCCGCACTGCACGGAATCCTAACAAGAGCGGCCAGGCAAGCCTTGTGAAGTTTACTGCTCTGCAATTCCCATTTAAGGATGAGAAGGTTCTCTCTGTTTTGATGACTGGATTAATTTGAAATCCTTTGTAGAATTGGCCAGACACATTCAGCGAGGAGAAGAAAGAGAGAAAGAAACAAGTTCTGGTTAATGTCAAATGCGGCTGCACGGGCCGAGTCTTCCCGTTAGATCTGCTTCTGATGAAAGTCTCGCTGCTCAGCCATTGAAGGAAGACTTATTTTACAACTCACAATTCTATGTACGAAGTCAAGTGGAGTTAAAGCCAACCACAGGGACCGAAGGAGAGTGATGAATAACCATAATGCCACATTTAGTTCTGTTGAGCCTGGCTCCTTGTGGCCGAGTCAAACTGTGAGTCAGCCGGCGATTTATTGCTCTCGCTGATGAACATCACACCCGCACTCACACACACACACACACACACACACACACACACACACACACACACACACACACACGCACACACACACACACACACGCGCACACATACAGGTTCTACATCATCTGGTTATAGAGCCAAGATGTGCAGGATGTCTTTAATGTATTTTTCCTTGTTTGTTTAACACAGAACATATTTTGCATGACTTTTCCTTGTGTTTTTTTCTGGGGGTGTTCTATTTCAAATCCATATTAAAAGAAAACCAAGGATAGAGGATAACAACTACTGCTAAACGCTGATCTAAATTCTCCAGAGTCCTCCATCTGGATTTTAAAAACAATGAAACCATAACATTCTCTGCAAAGATCCACATTTTAGTACTTTTAGATATTTAATATATTTTGGACGAGACCCTTATGAGATATTACCAAAGAGGTTTATAACAAAAAGAAGAGTGGCTACTTTAATTCAACAGCTGACCCACACTGTTAATGTAAATGTAAAATTCATGAGCTGGCAGGTTGGTTTCAAGATTTCAAATTAAAACGGTAGTCTAGGGGCAGTGCACATATAGAATCTTCAAAGAAGCCCTTGCATGTTAATTCTGAGAGAATGACATTAAAACCTGAGGCTTTTTGATACAACTTGATGAAACAACATTTCTTAAAATGCATTGTGCTTCACTCCTAAAAAAAATTTATTAATCTACAATGCTGTTCTAAGGATCCAGGACTCCCAGGTACCTACCAAAGCTGCTGTAATATATACGTATTCTTTAACGTTTTTTTTTATTATTTCTGAGTGGGTTCCAGTAAACAGTGTTTGGCTGATATGGCATAAAGATTTGTCCCCCAATTCCCGATTCCCTAGATTATGTAGAAAAAATTTAAACCATAGCAAGATGATCAAAAAATATTTTCATAATTCTTTCCCATTAGCCTTTTGTGATAATTTGTGTACTAGCAGATTCATTTTTCACTTGTTAAAAAATATGTTTTGTAATGTCCCATTCACCTGAGGTCAATGAATTCCGGTCAAAGTTCAAATTTCCAAAGAAATGTTAAAATGCATTGCAAATTTTCTTTTGGACAAAAAACAAAGAGTCTTTTAGCTTGTCTCATTGTTTATTACAGTAAGACCACATAAAGTTAATTCAAATACGAAGTAAGCATGCAATGTATCAACTATCTTTTTTCATTTCATTTTTACTAAGAAGAGTTATTTCAATTAATATAATTGGAACATTGAGGCATTTTGAAGATCAACCTCAGGTATACTCTTGGATCAGCCACTAATGCTTTGTCACGCACCTCAGCATCTGATACCGTTTCAAAGAAACTCTTTTGTATTTTTATTAACGCTTTGGCCTTTATAGTAGCGAATACGTAAACATACAGTAACTGCTTCCTTTTGAGGCGCCCACACAGAAATGCTCTGGATGTGTCTGGAAGTATCGATTTATTTTGTCCAATTTGTGATGAATTTTAGTGTGAGTTTAAATTTGACTGAGGTTACTTTCTGCCCAACTATGATGTTTTTCAAAATCCTTAATAATTGCCTAAGCAAGTGTTTTATGTCGCTTCTTCTTTGTCTGTGTTACACCGGGCAATAGAAAAGGGTCCGTATGTGACCAGTTGGGATGGGATGGGCAGCAGCAGTAGCTCTATTTACAAGTCTTACATGTACTCTTTATTATACACACACATAAACATTTAAAAATAACACGTATAGTCCTACTGTGCACAACAATTACATTCCCATAGTAACTCAAATGGCAGTCCTGTATTATCTGCAGGCTAACAAAGTACAAGCCATGTTGATCCATTAACCAGTGCAATATACTCGTCTGGGTTTGACAGTTATAAAATTTGATCTGAACGCAAGAGAAATGTTCCACGTCAAAATCGTCCCCGTCATCCGTGTAGTGTAACATCTAAGGGACAGCTACTTTCCTCCCTTTACCTCAAGTGAATGCATTCAATCTCCTCCGTCACAGGCACGAAGGAGGTCCTGATGTCCATCTCGTCCACAATCTTACTGGGGCCGTACGTGGACCTCCAGCGGATCAGTACGATCTTCTTCAGGTGCTTGACTGTGTTGTTCTTGACACTGACGAAGCACAACGTGTTGATCATGCTGTTGCTCATGGCGATGCACTCGATGATGTAGAAGGCCACCAGCGAGTTCTTCTGGCGGGAGATGAGCGTCGGGTGGAAATCTCGTAATATGGCGAAGCCGTAGTAAGGAGCCCAGCACAGGATGTACGCTGTCAAGATCCCGATCAGGACCAACACCGTCTTGCGGCGGCAACGCAGCCTCTTCCTGATCTGCTCCGTCTGGAAACCGGGGACATTCTTGAACCAGAGCTCACGGGAAATTTGGGTGTAACACATCGACATGACGACCACCGGCACAACAAACTCCAAAGCAAAGACAAACAGAAAATATGACCGGTAGTAGACCTGCTGCTCGACAGGCCAGATCTGAGCGCAGAAGAACTTGTGTGTGGTCGGCGTGGTGCCGCCGTGAGGGTACATGGTCTCAGAGGCAAAGTAGGCGGAGGGAATGGATATGAGAATGGGAACGATCCAGACTCCTGTAATCAGGCAGTAGGCAGTTTGGTACTTCATGCGAGGCCTCAGAGGATGGACTATAGCCATGTACCTGGAAGGAGAAAAAAAGACACAATGTCGCAAATGAAGAGCCGGGAAAAAAACAACCACACGTGTACAATGCAATCAAACCGACCCAAATGGCTCTCAATCACTCGTTGAAGATGGTAGTTCAATATACGGCAATCGATTATTCAGATGAATTCTTTATATTCATACAATTGGCAGTCAAAGGTTACTGAGGCTTTCTGTTATGTTCTCCTCTCTCAGCTATATGTAAGCTAGAGATAAATACATGAACCAACATATCAACTCAACCCATGTCTGTCCGAACTATATTTTTGACCCTTTCCACTGCGATAAAGTGGGGAAATTATTACATCAGGTTTCGTCACCCAACACTAAATATAAATCAAGGCTTCGAGGCTACTTCTTGAGTTTTGAAACAAAAGCTTCTTTTATGGATGAGTGAAAGTTCCTTGTCTCCCTCTGTGCACCACAACGCAGTGTAGCAATGGGAATCCGAATAACATTCGCAAGAAAGAGCACTGCGGTGCCGACGTGTCATGTAGAATTCTGCACACCTGGGTTGAAGAGTGGGATACGATAATTGGAAATTGCAGTTGTAGAGGTGCGTCCACACCTAAGGCAAAAACCAATAGCAACCATTTGTGTGGTTTGGACTTTCAATCAATGCTTACTAAACCTCGGATTTAGGGCGTTTAATAACTAACGGCACAGGTGCAGGCAATGGCCCACTCAGTTCAATCAATTAGAGAGAGGAAGCGCGGATCACACGTCATGTGACGAGGAGAAATCAACTACAGCTGGCTGATATTGTTTCTGTTTTTGTTGGATATGAGACTATGGCAGACATACAGGGGAGAGCTTTACCATCTGCTCACGTTTGCACAGAGAATTTTACTTGCTCCGCCCGTGGCGAACAAAGACGTCACAACTTCCGGAGGAGAGACAAATTGAAGGTGACAAATTCAGGGGGCATGTAAATGTGCCGTCGCCTGGGCTTTTGCTACGGTCACGTGTTGGATGCTTTCTGTGAAAAAAGGCTGCCCATCAATAAGAAAACAATTAAACAATGTTTCTTTCCACTACACAAGCAATGTTCTAGGTGCCTTTTGCCCCTTATATTTTCCTTCTCTGAACACTGAACAACAGTATGATGTCAGCACAATAAGTACGGTTCTAACATTTTTAACACGTTCTTCAGTGTGAATGTAATGAGAAGCCATGAACCACTAAGGAGTATAACTACCACAATTAATATTGTAGAGTTTTTAACACAGCTTGGCATTGATATTGATTTCAATTATTATGTTTTCACTTTTGGAAAATAGAACAAGACATCTGATGTGTTTTAAACTTAAAATCAGTTTACTGGATCTGCTGGAAAAGAAGCTCTCTCTATCTCTCAAGATCTCTTGAAGACGGAAATAGAATCAACAAGAATTTTAACATCAACAATGATGATCAAAACCCCTTTTTTTTTCATCAAGGTCTTTAGGGGGGGAAATAAGATTTCAGGATAAAGAAACATGAAAGCTTTATTGATTGAAGTCTCTAGGCTGGAAGGCTGAAACATCGGCTTGCTTGATTGAACAAATAAACCCACCGAGATGGCAAATAAATAACACACTCACCTGTCAACTGCAATGGCGAGCAATGCGTTTGTGGACACGTAGAGGGACACTGTCAGGAGATAGTTGACGGAGGCACACAGCACTAACCCGTGACCCCAGGAAAGCTGTTTCACCACATAGTAGTCCACGAGGAAGGGGCAGCACACCACTGCCACGATGAAGTCCGAGATGGCCAGGTTGGCGATGAGCAGGTTGGTGAGATTGCGCAGCTTTTTGTAGCGCATCAGTGTGGCGATGAATATGAGGTTTCCAAATCCACAGACAAGCATGATGCAGACGAGCACCACGCCAATGATAATGGTGGCCACGAAGAAAGCCTGACCCTGCGTCGTGTCTGGGATCTCATCAGGAGGGACGCCGTAGTCCATATCATAGCTATCCATGTAATGATCCAAGGCACCTGCTGGGAGACTCTCCCCTGTCTCTTTGTAAGGGATTTGGCTAATGTTGGAGTCCCCCATGTCTTAGCACACACTTTTATTTGGGTTTAGAAAAACTTGTATTTTACGGCAATTTCATTTGACATATTAAATGAAAATTGTTGATCGATGTTCTAGGTATTAAATGAGTCATTTCTGTGCATTGAACAGGCTTCTTCTTTGGGAATAGTCGCACATCTTCACCTGGAAAGGAGAGTTCCCATCTCAGTATCACTCATGCAGGGTCAGGATGACAAGAAGGATCAAAACAAAGAACACCAGCTCAGTGCTGCAGGCGTGATCATGCTGCCACGTGTGACGTTTCTATATTTTTGGACCAAAAATGAAAGGCAGCATCTAGTAAAGACCTCTAATTTATTACAACTTTTTCACTATAATGAGCTAATATCACAGATGAGTCTCAGTATGATTACAGGGGCATTAGGTGTGCAAGAATAGGTTGTTTAAATCCCTCTCCAAGCATATGATGTAAAGCAAAAATCGAACTCTAGACAAATTAGAAGAAATAAAATACATAAAAAAAATCTTTAGATCGTATGACAGGGCTAATAGATGCATACGAGACAGAGAGATCACCATGTTTTCAAAAGATTTGAACCATGAAATAATTGGGTTTTACAAATAAGTCCGTCTATCATTGAAATTCGTGAGAGAGGTACATTTTTTATGCAAAAACGGCCTCAAATATATGGATATGTTAAGAGTTGGAGGGAAAAAATACATTAAATTCAGTCTCTGGCGTAGTTTATAAAACCAAACTTGGCTCTACGAAGCAACAAAAAAAAAGGTCACAGTCTGTGAATCTAAAAGAAACAAATTCTCAAATGTAGACTTATAAGAGCGAGAGACTCAACTCAGTTCCCGGGAATGGAAGTCGGTAATGTATTAAAACATGTTAAAAGACACTTACCGGTAAACGATTCCGAAGGTAGACCGACTCCTACCGGACAATAGCTTAAACAAAGCGCAATTGCGCGTCGCGTGTGCCAAAGTACCATTGGACAACCGCACCAGTGCGCACGCGGGGTTACTCCATCAGCGCATCGCTCCTCTCTGCTGCCAGCGCGCGGCACGTCGAGAAACGCACTAAGTTCCGTCAGTCACTCTTCCCCCTCGAATAAAAACATGCAATGGTCCGTGTGGGGTCTGTACGCGTTTACCATTTAAGGCGAAGAAACCCTCGTATTTTTGTAAATCCTTACAAGAGAGACGCAAACTAAGCACGTACGGGCATTTCAAAATAAAAGCCAAGGCAATAGAATAAACGTGCGCGAGAAATTGTTATTCACGGTCCATTATGCAAGCCCCAGAGTAATACTTAAACAATTGAATTAGTATAATAAATACATTTGGGAGGAGTGTGTTACACAGTTACACAGTAGTTACCAACAAGCGAGCATATCCAACAAGCGAGCATGGAGTTTTCAATGAATATGTGTCTTGTTTGGTGTAATATGCTGAAGTTCATAATGTAGTTTAATCAAAGTCTGTTTTGCGTGCATAATTATTACTAGCAGCACTGATATTTATTTTCCCTCCGTGTTGTGCTGTTGTTAGAGTGAACACAATACTTCAAATTTACAGAAAAACTAGTGTTTTCCATTTCTAGATGTAGACTGCAGTATAAATGTATTTAAACTGTATTATATTTGTCTATGTATATGCCAATATCTAGGTTATTGATATAGATGTAATGCTGTTTAATTCATCTGATATTTGATGTGTTTTTTTGCAGCCTAGATGTATACATAATGTATTTACTTGGTATTTGTATGTCATTTCGGAATGAAAACTTCTTGGAAGAGTGAGCCTGTGTTGATCACAGCATACTCAAACAAACAGGGATCCACAGTGGAGTCTTTGTCTACAATCTGTTGTTTCTTCCTGTTTCTGCCATTTTGGCTCCCGGCAAACGAAGCCCTGCCATTTACCGCTGCATGCTCCTTGTCGTCCCCCCCCCCCCCCCCCCATCCATTACCCCCAAACCATCCACCATTCAGATCCAACATTCACCACCACGTCACACTCTACGACGAGCATTCCGGCACCATTTCGGTATCCAAGCCTCACACATCAAGGTCACAACACTCAATTGGCACCAGCCTCCAACCCTCTGTTGACCGCTGTGCCGCAATTTTCACCCTTGATCTTCAACCCCGACATGACATCCCTCACATCCCTTCATCCCCCCGACCCTCATCTGTAGTTTATGTTTAGCCTTGTGCTCAGGCATCTCTCTCCAAAAAAGAGATCTTAATATCTGTAATATAGTGATTGACAAACCAATCATTTCTATTTTAATACAACAAACAAAGCTCTTACAAACACTCAAACATATTCTTCATAATATAATATTCCAGCAGCAAGTGGCTGAGTATCTGAAATTATTTTACGACATTGAGACAAGAGTGTCTTTCCCATGTTATTCTGGTAGCACATTGCATAATATACATGTAAGTGTAAAATGTGCACGTAGTGCATCAAGTGCTCTTCCCTCTGTGATCTGAGATGGAGAAAAGAACATTTGATGTTGACACCCATGGCATAGTGGCTGTTGGAATGGAATAACTTTGCTCATTGTAAACCAAAAAACAAAAATTAATGCTTTATTTTAGATACCCTTTCTTTTGTATTAGACTTTCCTTAAGTGTAGTGGTTTAGTGATAAACTATGTAATGCACAATACTATTTTTCCCTCTCTCACAGAGCGGTATAAAGCTTTCACAAACAAATCTCTGGGGTTAACCATCCTGAACACCAGATAAACAGGCCTGATGACTTTTTTCAGATCAATTTTCTTATTGTGTATTGTGATTTGCGAAAGCTAACACTACTGGCCTCCTCTGACAATCATCTGTCAGCAGCCGGCAAGATAGCTTTGTGTGTCCTCTCACATCGAGTGCACCGGTGCAGATCATTACAGATACCAAGAGACACAAAATAACGAGCCGACAACTCCTTCTGTCATCTACAATTGACAAACAATGATATAAAGTTTTAAAGTTTTATTTTCTAGAACTTGAACGGCTCATAAGAGATGAGAGAACTGCCCCTGTGTGTTCCGATTCGTTTTCATCACCCCGTAAATATCAGGGACTACGTTCTCGGCCCTGTTAGGGTCCATCGCTGTAGCCCCAGAGGCCGGGCCAGATAAACAGTCTCTCATTTCCTATTCTGGACAGCTCTTCAATCTTAACCGGGGCCTCGGATTTACTGCTACTCATAACCAATGAATATAAATGGAAAATGCTCGCAGTGTGATTCTCTCCTCGGCCATGGAGAATATGAACAAGACCCTTAATCTATGGCCTCCAGTTGAGGTTGGAAAGATATTGACATAGTTTATTGGAGGCAATGTCATAGGATAAGCAGCAATGAAACAAAATCCATACAAATATATGTACAGGGATTAAATCTGAACACAGAAGTGTCTTTTTTGGCGAAATCTTCATTCTGCTGGGGATCCCCGGTTCCTCCAGTACAAATGCTGAACAAAATCCCAAGTTGCTTGCAAAGGCCTCGCCGTGAAGATGTGCATGTGTGAGTTTGTTAACTTGACATTGGATTAAATTCTAATGAGCAGTTTGGCACATTGTATGACACCGTGGGCCATCAGTGTGAAGACGTGTGTGTGATTTGGGGAAACAGTGGCCAAATGTCACAGGCTCTGAAGGCTGAAGTAGGGAAGCCACGACGCATCCATGAAGACAGGTTGATATATATTGACAGTATGCATCTACTCAATGTCATTTGTCAAGTTTGTCTAAAGATTATAGCTGTACATACATACATATGTATACATATGATATATTCTCTGCAACCCTAACATAGGAAAGAAATGGGCAGGAGGAGGATTTTGTCAATGAGTATTTTTATATTTTATATTTTGTGCTTGATTGTGTCCGTACATTGCAAATTCAACCACTTACTCTTTTGCAATTTTATTTGACCGATGTTGTGTTTTCTTATTCACAACTGCAGAGGTAAGTACGCGTATCTGAAGTTCTTTACATGAACTATGGCTGTATCAATTTGATTAAATACCTCTGAACCAGAAATGAGCTTTGTATCATCATTTGTAGCTGTCAGTGCCCTCGGGCCATGGCTCTGCGTGGTTAAAAATATGCTGAAAAGCTGATGTAAAGCCATTTGACATGTGTTTCATTCAGCCGTTTTACGGCCTGCTAGATGTGTCGAGAGGAACATTTTGACTGACCTTGTACTGCGGGCAGCCTGCAGAGAGCTCTTCTGTCTCTTCGTCATGTTTCTATGAATCTCTCCAACTCTCCTCTCTGCTGAATGGTGTCACAGGGGAAATTATGCAAATACGGAGGGGTAATAACAAAATACACACACGTGGGCCAAAAGAACCAAAGGGCTGATAGCTAGATGCTATGTATACTGTTATCAAGGGCTGAGGTTTAACATCTCCAAAGCCCAGCAAAACACACACGTTCCCACATATTTTGCATGTATATGTTGGCTATTTTCTTTCAATTCTTTTCATTAAAACAAACAACATGATGTTTAGGAAGAGGGAAACTTTTGCTACATATTCAGAATCCCACTTCAAAGATCTGATGTCTGAGTCGTGAGGTAAACAACACTTAGACACTTGAATTGTGTGATCGTGCAGCTGCTTTCATCCAGCATCCAATGATGTTTTTGAGATCACGTTCCCCAAAACATTGTCAGCACCCACTTAAAAACCAACAACCCCTGTTTTTCTCTTTCAGCACACGCAGTGCGGCAACCACTTCTGACAGGAAATGGTTCTCGACAGACTACACAAATTGCAGTCCACGAATTTTCCCCTCTGTGCCGCGGCGGGCCGTCGCCCAATCTGCCATATCAAACAGCAATCTAGAAAGCAGCTGACTAAGAAGCAGAATAATGGTGTGTGTGACCGCCCGGTGCTTTCGCGGGCCGGCCGATTGTTTGTTTTTGTGGTTCTGCTTTGTCATCAACAGCCCGGCTTTTCTAATCTCTGCCACAAAAGGCAACAATAACCCGTGGAAGGCCCCAGGCCCGAAAGGCGCGCCGCCACAGCCGGTGGGAGGTTCTAGGGGCTATTTCGCCAACAGCCGGCGCTGTGCAGCGTTTAGTCTAGCATGAGACAGCCGAGGGTGAGCACCCACAAAGTTTTCACACAGTAAAAGGAGCGCAAGGGGACCGATCACTCGGGAGGGACGCGTACCACCATGTACAAGAGCAGCTACGCGCACGAGGTGCGCAGGGAGAAGTACGAGCGCTCGGATGTCTTCGACGAGGAGCCCGCGGGCTTTGAATCGTCTGCGGGCAAATCCGCCATCCAAGGCTGGGAGAGCCTCCAGGAGCTCAACAGCCGCTTCGCCCGGTACATCAACAGGGCACGAGTCCTGGAGCAGCGCAATGCCGTGTTCCGCAAGCAGCTGGAGACGCTGCAGCGGATGGAAGAGGCCAGCGGCCTAGAGGAGGCCTTCACACAGCAGACCGAAGTCAACAGGAAGCGCATCCGAGAGCTGTCCTCCGACCAGGCCAAACTAGAGCGAGAGCTGAAAGATGCTTGCCGGATGCTGGATGAGTTCACCTGCAAGTAAGGGCGTTGCGCTGGTGTTATCAGACAAAGATCTGGACATCTATGTGTGTGTTTTAAGAGGAAGTGACACTGAGATGTAATCCTAAAGAATTGAAGATGATTGAAAATAAAAAAAAGGTATTGATAATTCTCAGTAAATTGGCATGAAAACTGTGAGTTGCAGTCTTCAAAGTCAAATTCAGAAGCAGGTAATCATAAAACTCGCTGTAAAATGTCTTTATTCTGAAAAATGTAACCTAAAACAAGAAAAATAATTAATTGAAATAATGCTAAAAGCACACAAACAAAGACGTTCTACTTGGTTAAGTACATTTAGTTAATGATCATGATTTGGATTTGGATTCAAACACAGCTCAAACATGCAATGATACCTTCTTCTGCTTTTGTATCAGACAAACACATAATCCAGATTTTTTATGTTCCAGATATAGAAATGAATGTGAATTTCAAGAGCAGCTTCGGGGCACACTGGAACAATTGAACAAGGTATGGATCAAATAACGGGCGTTTACACACTCAAACAAATGAACATAAGGAGCACTTCACTACTCAATCCAAGTTCTCCAAAATGTGGAAATGGAAGAACCTTTGAATGTGAAATCAGAGACACTTTACATTATTTAACACTATGGGTAATAATGGCTAAAGCAAAAGAGATTCACTACAGTAGTTTTGATAAATCTCTTCACATTTTGAGAGAACACGGCCAGGATGAAACTGAAGAGTCACTTTAGTGTTCTTTGGCTCAATGCACTTCACACTAAACCTGCTACGGTTTGGTTCCCGTTGTTGTTTCTTCTTCCTGCAGGAGGCCGACAGCTCTCTCCTGAGAAACCTGGAATATCAGATCCAATCACAGTTCCTGCAGGACGACGTCAACTCCACCAGAGACCGACACAAGAAGGTCAGTGGCGCCGATGGTAAATGGTCAAAGGGAAACTACTGGGCAAATCCTAGAACAACCCCTACGATACAATACAGATGTTTGAGAGGAAACCAATACGACCTCAATGGGACCTCATCATTGAGGTGTTCAAAAGAATAGCTTTGATAGAATCAATAAAAATAAACTTTTCAATAAAACTTCCTTCAAACAAGAAAACCAAGTAAGCAGTAAGTAATGAGAAACAGGGTTATGGATTAAGATTTTAACCACTTTTATGGCACTTATTTTCAGTTAATTGGTTTGTGTGTTTCATTACCATATATGTATTTCCATTTGACAGTTAATGTGTTTTAATCCATAAAGCCACCACAGTTGAATTTAGCACAGCAGGTTGTTCCTGCCTCATCGTTCAAGTCACTTTCAAATGACCTTGATATTCATATCAAAAATTATTTCAGTTGCAAAAAGATAAATGATTAGATACATTCATCAAAACAAAATTCCGGTGGCATTCCGACTCTCCAAAAATGTGTTTTCAGTTGAAAATAATTAGCACGTAAATGACATTTCAGACAGATGGAGCAAAGAGATGGTTTTGCAAATAAGCTGTAAATCCTGTAATTATTTGTTATCAGTTTATCAATCAATATGCTTTGAAGAGAGGAGCAAAGATAAAGTAGAACTGTTTTGACACTCAGTCCTTATCGGTGGCAAGCAGCAACAGGACCCATGTGACCACTCTCTGAGAAAGGTTTTCAATAGTTCCTAATCTTTGTTCACATCGCTCTTTAAAGTTCTATTGCATCTTAAAGTTTTTCCAGATATTGTCCTTTTTGACAGTATCTTTGATCTGAACATACATGTTGGATGGATTTATCGGATACATCACAGCGGTCGGGAAATGAAGCCACATCTATGAACGTTAGTTCAAAATAGAACAGTGTGTTTTCCTTTTTGTTGCGTTTAAAAGCTGCAGGCCTCAGGCAAAGACTCCACAAACAACAAGTAGCTTTAGTAACAATATACCTTCTGTCATTTTAAACAAAATGTAGCACTGCTCTTCACACATATGTAGATAGACAAACAGAAACATTACCTTTTTCTGTGGCTTGAAGGTGCCGCACAGCAGCCACAGAAGTGCTGAGACAAATGAAGCGGTTGCATTATGCATCGGGCACATTTTCAATCATTTTCTTGCCGAAGCAATTCATCATTTTTTATTTTAACCCGGCAATATATGTATGAGGATATATTAAACCCGGACTCAAAATTGAGATAGCATATCAAAGGGCACGGCTGTCTCTATATTATGAGGGTGAAAATCAGGAGTTGTCTCACATGAATATTGGACTTGTGGTCCCGAGCTTTGAAGTATCCATCTGTGGACAGAGCAAATATATATTGTATCTATTACCAGGGCTACGATCACAATGGTACAAACGGATTTTAAGAAAAAAACTCGCTTTGTCGTCAAGAAATTCTAGCACCTTCTGTTTGGTATATTTCATGTTTTCCTTTTATTTCATCTTCTTTTACAGAACCTGGCAGAGATCCAGACATATGTAAACATTTTAAAGCAAATCAACCAGACTCTCCCCCTTGCTCCCAATATGTCAGCGGGCATCTCCGAGGTGAGGTCATTAATGTTGTCACTGTGTGTGTGTGTGTGTGTGTTTGCTGCAGTCCCTGCGGGGAGAGGACGCTGCTTGCATGTGAGTCAGCGCTGGCTACGTGTCTAGGCTTGACGAGGTTACCGGCTTCTCAGTTGGTCGCCTGCGCCTGCTATTGTCCGATTTATTGTGTATTCACAAGTGCAGACAGTGAGACAGTCCAGCGGACACGAGTACAGAACATCAGGACTCATAATGAAGCAAAAGGCCGGGGAGAATATCTGACCAACTGTGCCAGAGTGACAAGTCTTTGTGTGGGACAGTGTGGAGTTGTATTAATACAAACGTTTCTTGGAAGTAGAGCTGCTCCGGATGCAGGAATGTATTTATTTTATTTGCTTGAGTTTGAGTTAAATCTCAGCAGGCAGAGATCAAGAGACACAGCTCATGGATTCTGGCTTTTGTGCTTTGGGGAGAGAATCCTTTTGTTCCGGCGTTACTGACGGCAACAAAGCATATTGCATAAACATTTTTACGTTCAATTTCACAAACTTCACATCTAGTCTAATAATTTGTTTCCTGATACAGCAGTTGTGCGCTTTGGACATTTTAAGAGAACAAATCAGAATCAAATTAGTAGCAACGATGCATCTTAATCATTTGAAATTTGAACCCTACAAAGCAACCAAAGCCAATACATATTTAAAGTCTGAGAACAATGAATATTTACAAAGAGATCTGCCAGGTCTCCAAACAGCCACTTACGTCACTTGCATCATTATTACTGTGCTCTGCCCTCTACACACTCAATAGATCAATTTTATCAGTAGATGAAACATAAAACATCACTGCTTGAGGCAATGAAATTGTTAGAAAGCCCTTAAATAGCAATGCAAAAATCAATCAGTTAAGCTTAATACAGTGAGACTTGAGGAAGACATGACCGATGGCTCGGAGTCTCTTTGTGATGCTGTAAAGACGTGCTCGTCCGTTTGTCTTTATGGGTTTGCGCTCCGTCTTTAAAGGAACAGGAGAAGCTGCAGGCCCAGCAGAAAGTGCCGGTGCTGCAGAATCAGCTGGAGGAATATAAGAGCGCCCTCTGTCAGCTGCAGGCCCAGAAACAACGTCTACAGACTGAGGTGGGTCACACTGTCACCATGACAACAGGAGGATTCGTGATAATGACATGGCTTGCATGTTTCCCTTTTTCTTTTTTTCTTTTATCACCCAGCCAATATGCAAAGACTGCAACCCTGAACAAGATGTCCGTTGTCTGTCTGTCCAAACTTCTGTCCTCAGTAATGTCAGTAATTCAAAAAAACTGTTTAACATTTTGAAGGTTGATGATTAATTTACTGATTGTTTTTATGTGTCATGCACACTGAGTGGCCAACCCTCATTGGATTACAAAAAGCCATCCAATACATTTGCCGATGTTTCACTTTAAGTAATCGCATTCCATTAAAATACGTATGAATTATTTTTCTCCTTAGCCTCAAACAAATATTCTGCCTCCTCTATTAAGCTTGGCAAGACAAATTAAGGTTAATTTGCTAAAACTCCCATGTCTATATTCCTGTGAAAAGGATAGTAAAACAAAAGGTGAGCTTTGTGTTTTCATTTTTGAAAAACTGCAGGTAGTTTTCTCAAATAGCCAAATCAAAACTGATATGAGAGGCGAAAAAAAGTATGTTAATTAACTGTGTTATAAGCGAAGAATGTTTTTTCAGTTTGCATGAGCTTCTGGATTAATTCAAGGGGCACCTTACTATCTTTTCTCATTTCCCTGAATGTTGAGTTGTCACTGAGCGATGAACGGAATAGACTTCCCCCAGCAGCCTCCGTGCTGTGGTGCTAATAGCAAGATGCTGCAGACGCACCACCAGATGTCAGCCACGGCCACCGCGTGATGGACGAGACCAACGCCGACCCTACTTTCAACCTTGCTCAGAATTTTTCTGATTGCATTAACAACTCAAGCCGTTACATTTTTCTTTTAAAAAGTTCTAATTCCCAAATGAACATCTTGCATCTTGTCTTGCCCTTCAGACTACTGTGTTGGAGCAAACCATCAAAAACAAACAGGAGCGTTACGACGATGACATTCAGACGTTTAATGAGCGGATTGACTCCCTGCGGAAGGACATCGAGGAGGCCGAGCAGTCCCTCGAGAAGTTCACCAGTGAATGTCGTCACCTGGCCATGTACCAGACGTCGCTTGAGAATGAGCTGGAGAGGTACAAGAGGATCATCGAGAACGAAGACCACAGGTAGACTCCCTCCGCACGCAGAGAATGCTCCTGAACGCCTGTCAGGTTTGTGCGAGGAGACCAAGATGGCTCTTCACTTAAGGCTGAAGCTGCAGTTTAAGGTTTTACCGTATTTAAGAATGATCCCATGAGAGAAAGAAAATGATTCTTAATCCCAAATGTTTAGCCTTGTAAAACAGTTGTAAATTGTATTATTATGTTTTACCTTTTAAAAAAACACGTATTGATGGTTGATGGTAAATGTAGAGCTATCGTTCACACGCTTTGTCTTTGTGTCAGTGTAGAACACAGAATCATCCAGTAGATGGCACTGGGTGACAACAACTGTTTTTTCTTTTAGCACAACAATAAGCAGAGTATTTTCTTCCTGTTTTTTCATTTTAAGAAAAATAGGAATTTGCAATGCAGAATTCTGTTGAGTCCGTGGCGGTTTCATTAGTGACATATCACTGTTGTCTTTCCTTTAGGTTGAATTCAGCAATAATTGGGACTCCTATTACCCTGTTCACCTCTAATTTCCAGTACCCTCCCACACCTACGACATCAAGCCCGGGACGAGGTGAGGGCACCATGAGCACATCGCAGCTGATTTAAATAGAGAATATCTAAATTCACATGCAATCGGCTACTTTTGCTAAAAACAACCCATCTTTTTTAGACATTAAAGCTTACAAAGCTAGTTAAAGAGATGTCTTAATTGTTTTTAGCCTCTCTGAAGATTTTGGTCTGTTGCTGCATACACAATTTCAGTCTCTTTAGTCCACCGGTTTCAGCTAGTTGACTTATGGCCTCATCTGTGTCCAGATATCACCCAGGTTATTCAAGATATCACCAGCATCAAGCCCCGCCAGAAGATCCTGGCAAAGAAAGTTCTCAAGATCAAAGAAATGACTCCAAAAGACGTGAGTGACAGTGGCCCGGAGGACAGAAATGTGGGAGCTGCTGTAGAGGCGGCCGATGAGGAAACAAAGGGGGTCCCGTCTCTGGAAGTGCAGGAGGAGATGGTGAAGAGAAAAGAGATGAGGTCCGCGTTCACCGGAGTGTCTCCACAGGACGTCCCGGACGGAGCTCAAATCAGCAAGGCCTTTGACACTCTGTGCAACATCGTCAGAGACAGGATGAGGAAGTACAAGAAGCCTGAGCCGATCGCTGACTTCTACACGAAGGGACGCTACGTCCTTGTCACTGGCGACGGCAGCTACCCAGATCCGTGCTTCTACACCTCCACGCCATCGGGCGGCCACATCTTTGTGACTATTAGAGATGAAATGATGCCTCCCTATGATCCTTACACACCCGTCACACCCATCACTCCCTCTCCTCCACCTCCACCACCACCTCAACCCCAGCCTCAGCCTAAGCCTCCTCAGCCCCATAGTTGACCCCAGGCCTCCCAGTCCCACCCCGCCCTCCAAGGGAGGAGGAGGAGGAGGAGGAGGAGGAGGAGGAGGAGGAGGAGGAGGAGGAGGAAAAGACGATGACAAGGGTGGAAAAGGTAAGGACAAGGGCGGTAAAGGAAAGCATAAGATTGAAGATCCTCCTCCTGACTCTGAAGATCCGAGCCCACTCCCGTCACCCTCGGGCCCTAAAGATCCCACCCCAGCTGCCGACCATCCCAAGAAAGGCCGGGGGGACGTCGGGCCCGCCCCGAAGCCTGCGCCTCGCGGAGCCAGCACCAGTTCTAGCTCCAGCTTCAATTCCAGCTCCAGCACCAGCTCAAGCAGCTTCACCCCGGACGCAATGAGCTACGAGAAGCTGGAGGTGATGGAGTCTGTGAAGAAGTTCTCCGGCGACCGCAAGGTTAAGGGTTACGAAGAGACATCCGTGGTGGTGGAGACCATGATCGAGAAGTCCAGCAAGAAGAAGCATTGAAACTACTTCAAATGAGAATTGGGTCCCCTCCTCCGCGGTTCAGGTCCTCTGACAACAACAGTGATGAATACTGCTCTTCCTCAAAATACCGTAAAAAAAAACTGATACGTTTTGCCCCTGAAGGATACCAACCGAGGTCGAAGACCAACTACACATCCCTGCTCTGAAACGCATCGCTCCTCCAGTTGCTTGCAGTCTCAATACGTTGTGCTGGCTCCACGAGTACTGCTGCTGCTGTTCAACTTAACATCCATGCTACGCTCCTTTTCCTGTTTGAAAACTTGGGAAAATGAAAAAAAAGCTCCATGCCACCACACACAATCTAATAAGAAAAGAAAGAAGTTGTGCCTCCCCTCTGAACTCTGTCTTTGAACTCAAACTTTCCCCTTTGAGCTGATTTGTTCAATTCGATGACACTGCCTGCCCTCAGCACAATTTTGCTGTGTATTAATTTGCTTTGATATATTGAATAATAAAAAAAGATTCCGACATCAATTACTGCTTTCAGTCGGATGTTATGCACAAAGCACTGACATATTTCACCGGTCATAAAAGCACGCTTGCAACATATTTTCTAAATGACCTTGAATAGTTTACAATGTCACTTTGATGCATATAGCTGCAAACTGCCTACATCTTTGCACAAGTACAGGCCCTACTTTACTTTTGACTTAGTGAAATTGATTTTAGGTAAACATACTGTATTAGTGCTCTTCCCGTCCACCTGAATTAGCCTACAACCAAGTCATTCCTTAGATCAATTTAATTCAGTTCAGACAACCAAATATATAATGGTTGAGACACTTTGATATATATTACTAATAGACGGTATGAACTACTACATTCCGAATAGACTGTGTTTATTTTTTTACTGTTTCACAATAACGTATTTGCTTAAGTCTCCAGTTTTACCCATGACCAACTATTTGCCTTCTGCTTTTTTTTCCTACATTAGCTGATTTATTTTGGCCTTTCGTGGCAGCACGATTGAGTTACAGTAAAAAACATTATATGATCAGAACATGATCAACTATCAGCTTAAATTGATTTTTTTCATCCAGCAATACACAGCAACATGAGTATTTATTTAGATGTTGATTGTAAAACCTCTACACTTTATTCAGCAAACTATTTGCAAAACATGTTGTTTAGTGCTGCTCCCCGCGTGTGTAAATTGGATTTTATGAAACCCAGTGTTTTTACTTCATGAGCTTACCAAGATGCAGTGCAGCTCGGCCTCCTAAACGTGCACTTACAGATTCATAGTCAATGTATTGCAGCAGATTTTTTTGTGACAGTATTGACTGGCCTATAAAGCAGTAGCTTTGGCGTAAGTCGCTCAGGTTCTGCTGTTCAGGAAGCATTTTCTTTCATTTTTATCATACTGAATAAAAGAAACAGAACGTAGCTGCTTTTGCTCCAGTTTACTTAATGTTGTTTTAGTCTTAGTTTTAATATTCTATGTGATTTCCTATCTACGTTTTGGCCCTTGAAGTGGCCGAGAATGGCAGGCTTCTTTAACTGAGTGTCTTTGATCGTGTGTTGGAAATCAGTCAAGTGCTTAAATAAACAGCTAAATATATTTATTATAGCATACGTCAAAGATTATGAAATATGAACGGAGGAACACAGGCTGCAAAATAAATCACATATTCCTTTCCTTCATTCATATAAACAGTGCATTTCACATAAAAATATAAACAGAAAGAAGTATCACTGCTCTGTTTGCAAGATATTCAACTTTAAGTAGATTGACACAGAAAATCATTTACAGTCACAAACTGTACAACAGTTGGCAGAAGAGAGGAGCTGGGCAATAAAGCAAGAGCATGAGAGACTGGATTATATTTGGTTCAATGTACAATTCTGTAAAATGTAAAAAGTCTGGTGATATAGTCTGCTTTCTCTATGTAGAACAGATTATTAAAGGTTACACTCTTATCATGGTTCGATTACAAGAAACATTTATTGAAGGTTGGGGCCTAATTGAAACACCTGATGACAAAAAGCAGAGTGAAGAGAGGTAGGCAGAGGGGAGGGTGACAAGAGAGAGGGGAGAGCAGGAGATTCAGAGAAGGCTAGAGCAAGATCGCAGAGTGGGAAGAAGATAAGAGGAAGTGAAATACTCGGCAACATGCAGGCGCGGCTTCAGTTGTTTTTACTCAGCAAGCTCTTCAGGCTTCTCTCCACGGCCTCATCCAGCTCCTCCTCCAGCTCCTCCTTTTTGGACATGGCGAGTTTGGACTGATAATCGCGTACTATCTGTTCTATGTAAGGGGCACTTTGTGTTCCATGCAGCATGAGAGTCCACTCTTTCAGGGCTCCGCGCTGTGGCTCCTCCCCCTGAAAGCCCACCTCCAGGACCCAGGTCCCGCGCGGGTCCTCGCCCCAGGTGTGGCTGGTCATGAAGGGCCACTTGTCGAAGCCCACCTTGGAGTCGTCGTCGCGGGGCCTTCTGCTCAGCAGGATGGACTTTGTGCCCATGGGCGAGGTCATGTTGACGTTGAGGTCGCCGCGGCGGCTGGCGTTGACGGTGACCACCGCCTGGACGTGCTCTAGGTAGCGGACAAAGTTGTCTTTCCCCTGACAGGCTTCGCTGTTGATGACCAGCACCAGTTTGTTGCCGGTCTGGATTTTACTGGAGTGAAAAGAAAGTATTAGTGTTAGTGTCAAATAAAAAAGATAAAATGAAAAAGACGGACCAAAGAGACAATATCTGTGCATCCCTGTAACGTGGCTACGGCTGTGTGCAGGTGTCTAATCTAACCGTCCTACTCTGAGTATCATGAATCAACCTGCTCCTTCAAGTTCAACTCACATCAGTAGCGATGATGCCATGTCAGCTTTCCCTGCCGAGCAATTTATCTCTAGTGGTGGAACAAATTACCTTTCGGTCTACAATCCAAGGCCAGATTTAATGACTTTTTTTCATCCTTTTAAATTTGTCCAACTATGTTACGGTTTAATACAGAATTTGTATTTTGTAATTTACTTCAATATGCTCCAAACATATACCAGAATAGTAATAAAAACAGAATAATTATTATTATACAGCCAACTGTAAATCCGAGGCCACGTTGACTGCACGTTGTGCACTGGACCTCTTCTAAACCGCGGCTCGTGTACACTGCATAAGAAGGTCATTTTATTTTAGTTATGTGTGGATTTGATTTAAAGTGTAAATAACAGGTTGGTCTTTGTATTGCTGTTGCTTTGTTGCAGAGAACACATACTGCTGTTCCCATCTCTTCGGGAGATGGAAAGAAAGCGTAAGAACGCAGCGGGGGGCAAGAGGCTACGAGGAGGCTTAATAACATTATTAGAGGCCTGGGCTACAGCGCCGGCGGTGGGAAATTGGGGCGGCTGGATTGAGAGGGTCGACATGGAGGAGTTGACAGAAACAGGGATGGTGAGCGAGACGTGCCAAACAGATGTCTGGAAAACGCTTAATAGAGCAGTATGCTGAGAGGTGAGTGCAGCGGGGATCTGTAAGGGGCCGGGGAGGCCAATTACTATTCCCAGAAAAACGGAAACCATTCTCAGTGGGGTGTTTCCCAGTAAGTTACACCCTGTAATGCCTGTTGAGTAATTGGAAGTTACTAAATGGGAGGCAGTTATTTTACTAACAGCATTTGACTTGTAGGCATAGACTGTAAAGGTGGACGTTGTCACTCGCTGTGGCGTCGTTTAAGCGTCTTTGGTTTATTACAACCAGAAGTGACACGAGACGGTCGAGTTAAGTACGACCGAAGGCTGAATAACATTCTCAGGCAACCAAAAAGGTTTTGCTTCACTCTCCTGAACTGAAAACACACTGTTATTAAGCGGTGAGTTACAAACACAGATCATTTCCGTTGGACTCTGCCCTAAAGCATTCGTTGCTTTAGCATTTATTTTACTTTAAAGGGGACAATTGTTTACAAAATGAACATCATGCTGTATTAACGAAGAACTAGGGATTGAGACCATGCTCTCGTTCATTTACTCTCATTTCAGTTTACCTGAGAATAAATCATGTGAAAAGTAGGGTCATTCTGTATGATCACACTACGTCACCCCCTTTTTGGTTTTTAGAAATAATGCAAGTGTACTTTGGCATTAACTTAACTTTTCAGACACGGAGGTTGCCATCTGTCACATAGTCATGTAACATATGTGTTTAATCAGCATTACTCTGCCGGTGAATATGTGAGATCTCACTTCAAACCCCCAGAATGATTTCATGCGCATCTGGCGTACGGTTCCCATCAGATAATGCGGGAAAGTGATTGCAGCAGTCTATCGGAGAGAAGGGAGAGTGATCCCTCTGAACGGCAGGACCAGTCTAGATTAAAAACACGCCCCCCCCCCCCCCCACACGCACACACACAGCTAAGGAACCCATGGCCAGCAAGAGCAGCTAGCAGATCAATGCCGAGCAGCGTGTTTGCGAGCGTGATCATATCAATGCTTATTGCTTTTCGTCTGGTGATGCACCAGCACAGATGTGAGATCTCTACCAAAATAGAAGCAGTCGAGGCCCCGTAGGTGCTGCTGCTGCTGCTGAGGAGACAATGAACTGATTCCACTCCTAAATGCTACCTTTTACTATCAGCTATTCTTTCCCATATTTCAGGTTTGGCTGATGTCACTTTCTGCAATGAAACGTCATGATACATAACCGCTCTGCAATAACGCTGCTGGAGCGAGTCGTCAGAGGTGCAGTGGAAGCTGTTCGGCTTCTGAGGGATGCTCCGTTTGTTCTGGTATTGTTCTCAAAGGAGGCGCACACACACACACAGGCATTCATTCACACATGCACGCGGGCATGATTTCACACCGTGTGGTGGTGACTGCCTCATGTGTGGAGCACCGATTGGAGACTAAAGGAATAGGAAGTGTCGAATTGGAACACCCCCCCCCCCAAAAAACATGGATGCACTGCATTCAGTCCGCTCCTTTTATCTTCACCCACACACTGACCCTTCCCACAATGAATATGCAAGCTTTGTGTCCCACACATATACTGTACACTCGTGATCACCTGCACCCGGAATCCCTCACTGGCTGATCTAATTGACACACAGTTACCAGGGAACGCCACGCCGGGGCATTTGTGGCGCTCTAATGAGAGCAAATGGGAGGGCTAGCCCCGGGAAACCACCGGTCACATGGTGCGCTCAGAGCCTCGGGGCGTGATGGATAGGATGAAAGAGAGGAAGAAGAGGTGGAAAGGAAAGGATGTGCACAGGACCACTCTACCTAAAGGCCTGACAGCAACAGTTAACATCACAGCGTGTGAGATAGATAGATCTCCTGTTTAAAACCTGTATAAAATAATCAACCTCCAAATCAAAACAAGGACACTTTTCTAAAGATTGTCATTGTGACCTTGTGTTTACTGTGTGTGCTTTTACTGTATATTTTCAAGATCTCCTCCACTGTCAAAAGATTTGACGCCATAAACTACAGGTCACATCGTATGAAGTCTGTTTTTATCACATATGAATCAAACC